ACGAATTACATGGAGATTGCAGACTTTAATGGTATAAATAGTGGTCTTGTCTTTAACATTGATGAAGTTGGTTTTCAAGACTTTTGCGACAAGAAAACCGTCAGAGTGCTTGTTCCCAAAAATGTTGACGTTGAAAGGATTAAGATTGGTGTTGGAAGAAGTGGTAAGAGATCCACTATTATCTGTATGATATGTTTGGATGGCACTACAGCGTGTCCCGGTGTTGTAGTGACCAATAAAACGCTTGATATTAAGCTGTTGTCGACGTTTTCCGATGCAACATTTTTTACCAACAACACAGGATTTGCAACCAAGGAAATCTTCTGCAACTGGATGATGAATGTAGTGGTTGAATACATCAAAGCCAAAAGAATTTTACTTCGACTTCCACCAGACGCGCCTGCACTGATCACCATCGACGGTTTTTCTGGACACAATTACGATGAGTTGCACACAATTGGCACAATCACACATCAAGCTTCACAAGTATATACCACATTGTTCTCATCTGGTGCAACCTTCGGATCTGTGCCTTTTCGGTTCAGTGAAAAAACAATGTTTAAACAGAACTCCATTTTTCAAAACTTCTGTTTCATCTTCTGAATTGACGAGATTATTGCCTCTAACAACACCTTCCACAGTCCCAATCGTTCCAAATACCTTATTAGAGCACAGAGGTGAGCAACAAGGAGTTGATCTCAATGTTTCAATTCGAGAAATAATTGGTTATTTAGCAGATGCAAATAACATGGCAACATACGAAACTCGAGAGAGAGGACAGAGAATGGAAAGTGGGAAGAGACTTGCCAACACAATTACCACAACACTGTCAAGCACCAACAGAGCAGCAACACATGAGACCATTATCGCGTCGTTTTTCAGGGCAGGAATGGTTTCTCGTTATGTTGAAGGCGCTTTCAGCCTTTTCATTGATATAAAAAGTGCTTCTAGACTTGTTGAAGAGTTCCCGACTTTTTTCCAGACAACAGTATGTCCCAACCAAACAACAATGACAAAACTCACAGCTCCCAACAACGATGTTAATGTCATTAACATCGCAGACCTTGACCCAAAGCAAAAAAAAAGGATGACAAACAAAACAAAGGTCTGCCACATCAAAGCAATGGCAGAGTCTATTGTCCTCGATCCATCCAACAAAACTTTAAACGAACCCATTCTTTCAAGAATATTAAGATTATACGGAGAACAAACCCGTTCTAATGAACCTATAAGACTGTTCCCCCATTACAATTTCCAACCAAACTTGTTGGAAACCTTTGAGCTCGATGACAGTGACTGGGAGGGTCTTAATTGAGTCTCTATTTTCTTTGAATCTTGGTTTTCTTTTTTTTAAGTTCTTTTTTATTAAGATTGTTTTTCTGAAAAGCTTGAATACACTTTTGCATTTTTGTGTTATTAAAATTTTTGGTCTATTTTCCCCTCAGTTTTTTGGAAAACAACGAAAAAATTGCAAAAGTGTGTCGTCACATACTTTACCTTTACCATCCATTTATTGGGATTAATAACCCATACCAATAGAGAAAAAACATTTAACTGGAAATATCCTCAAAAAATGGGTTATTTATACTTTGTTAATGACTTTATCCTCCATCTGTAACTTTAGCCCAA